ATTTTGTTTTTTCCTACAAATTTCTAGCAGAAGAGCACTACAACCCAAGTTAATATATTTCTGGGTTTATCATAGATTTTGATATTTTTGGGTTTATCGCAGATTTTGATTTCGTTTTTCCTACAAATTTCTGAATAAGAACAACCTTTAATTAGGGGTTAGATTCGTGGGACAGTAGACGGAACCGAAATCTTGTACCCGCTTTTTGATGCTCCTCTCATCGCAAAGCCATGGCGACTCCATTGGTCTCTCTTTTTATCTCTTTGATAGACATTTCTAACTTTTATGGGAGAGGAAATACAACGAAGCTCAATTGGGATTTCTGGGAAAGGAAAGATGGCGAAGCAGGGAGGGGTGAAGCGAAGCACAAATGGGGGGAAGCTGGGAAGGGTGAAGCAAAGCAGAGATGGGGCGAAGTAGGGACTAGCAGTTTGCTCCTTTTCGGGGGGTCTCGCTAAGACCCCCTAGCAAGCGTTTTTGTCGAAGCGAGTGAGACTTAGTCTCATTAAACCTAGTCCCTGTCGAGAACAAACATGGGACTGGACTAACCCTTAGTCCAGTCCAGTCCAGTACTCTTAGTGAGGGCAAACCAATGCCCCCTAAGGGGTGCAGGAGTGTACTGAACCTTATAATGGGTTTGCCATAATAATATAGTTCAACTTCGTTTTTAACGAGAATCGAACTTAAGACTTTTCACTTACAATTGAAAAGGAATATCACTAATACTAAGTGACATGATAAATCTAATTAAACTTCCGTTTTTTATTTATTTTCTATCCGGCCTCCTTTTAAAATTGTAAATATTAATTAATCAGTCAAACCACATATACATTCGATATAGATTGTGGTATTTTGGTGTATGAATACATGTATGGTTGTCTAGTTAGCATGGATTATCCTCCAAGTCATCTGCTATGAAACACTATCCAGTCAAGTCTTTTTTGGTTTAGTCAAGTCTACAAATATCCAGAATTTAAAAAAAAGAAAAAGAAAAAAGAATTATCTAATTCCTAATATCCTTTGCGTTAACAGATTTACTAAGACATAAAAAAAAAAAACAAAAAAACAAAAAACAAAAAAAAAAAAAAGATATGTACACGTGTTCACCTTAAAATTTGCAATACCTTAAATATCACCTAAAAAAATAATTTCTTCAATTGCTTACTTTCTCAAATTGCTGGTAAGTTGAAGGTGGGACTGATGCTAGGGATAGGTAGAAAGTAGGGGTGGGTTCAAAAAATCGAAAATCGAAAAAAATTGGACCGAACATCGAATCAAAATCGAAAAACAAAAGAAATCAAACTAAAAAAGGAAAAACGGAACCAAACCAAACCAAATCCCTTTACACTTTATAGATGTATGCCCATAACGTTTCTTTTGTGAAAACTTTGTTGCCAAGTTTGAAACTAAGCCTAGGGCTTTTTCAAGGAGCATACTTGGTTCAATTAGGGTAAGGGTGGAAAAAAAAATCTAAAATTCCAAACCGAACGAAAAAAATTCCGAAACCGAACTAAAAATATCCCAAACCGAAAATCCCGAAAATTTCGATACCCAATACCAAACCGATCTCAAAATTTCGGTATGGAATCAGTCTTACATTTGCATTCGTTCGGTGATTGCGAACCAAACCGAAATTAAAAAGTATATATATTATTTAATTTTAAATATATATTTGGAATTGTAACAGCCGTCCGATTTGGTTGGGATTTAATCTCAACCATTGAATCCAAATAAACCCTCACTCAGATAATCAAACAGTCAAACTCAGTCACTCTCTCTCTCAACCTCACCTCACCCTCCTCAACCTCACCCTCACTCAGTCAATCACTTTCTCGACCTCATCTCATCCCTCAAACCCTCACTGTGGAGGAGCCTTCCTTCACAGCACAGTGCCAGAGCCACGGCCACCGGCGCCGCTCACCTCTCTAATCTCTCTCTCTCTCGACTTCTTCATCTAGATTTCAGTGCACTGTGCATAGATTCTTTTGGTTGAGTAGTTGAGTTGTTCTATCTTTTGGTTGAGTTGTTGGTTGCTCTGCTTTTCCAAGAATTATTTGGGAACCTTTCGTTCAATTGGCCATGTTGGTATGCCCCTATTTTCGTTTGTCTGCACTCATTTTTTGTTGAAGCTGCGTCCACAGTAATAGCCTTTGTATGCAGAGCAGATTAAACCCTTTGTTCATGTTTGATTTAGATGGTTGTAACCTGTGTGTGACTCTTAATGAAACTATATGAATATGATTTTTTAAGATATATTGCAGTGTGAGCGTCCTTCTTCCTCTTCCAGTTACTGTGTATGTTCCCAAAGAAGGAGTGCGAAAAGAAACCTCTCGTCAAGGACATGAAATGAATTTTATAGTATGGTGTAAACCTTATGCATGTCACTATTTCCCTGTTGTGGTTTTCTGATTCTTACTATTTGTATTTATTTGACTGCTATTCAGGCAATCAAGGTGCTTCATATGATAAAACTTTATGAGAAACCAATCTGTCTAAACGAGGTATTGAACTGTGTTTTCACAGCTTTTCATTTTTGACATATGTAATATAATTTTGATGGTTTGTGTGAATTGTTCATTTGCAGGCATCAAGAACTTTGTGCCTTTTTAGCCCAAAAGCCCAATATGTCAAGTTTTGGTCCAATAGCCCAAAAGCCCAAAACTATTTCGAGATTCCTAAAAATTTAGTTTGGGATCGGTCTTGAAATTGGGATTCCTGAAAACTTTGGCTTGGGAATTGGGACAAGGGTTTCAGTTCGGTATCCCATACCGAACTAGCCCTAAATTAGGGTGGATATTCCATTGGTTATAGAGGAAAGTTTTAAAAGGCCTTGGCACTTGGAAGAACTTTTCTATTTGTTTGCTTTTTGAATGGATAATGTGATCATTTTTCTTTGCAACTGAGGTGGTTGATTGAATAGGAATGATTTATATGATCTTGTATAACTTTCCCAATTTTCTTGTTATTAGTCTACCAATGCAGAGCCTATTCTAAATTCCATATTAAAAAAAGAGGTCAACTTTGATAAAATAAAAAAATCAAAACCATTACCGAAACTAAACCAAATAAAACCAAACCGAAAAAACCGAACCGAATGAACCCGAACCTACCCTAGTAGAAAGGGTGTTGGCGCTGTAGTTCGTAATCATTATGGTGAATACAATACAAGGGGCTATGGCAATGGCTGGTCCAAGCCTTGTCTCTGTTACGACCATTGAATTATATGCGTTGAAGGTGGGGTTAGAATTGGCGACTGACGCAAATCTGCTTCCTCTTGTGATTCGCAAGCGGTTGTCTAACTGATTTTACAGGAAGGGAAGTGTTTGGCAGTGGAAGAAAATTATGAGGAGGTATGGCTCATTTGGTGCTGTATTCAATTTCAAGGGGTGCTAATGCCTAATGGAGTTGTTCATCGCATTGCGAGAGTCGGTCTCCGTGAGCGAGGGCTTTTGTATGAATGTGGGGCCACCCAACGGTGGAGCTAGTAATAGGGTTAGGGTGGGCTCTAGCATAGGGAGAGTTTTAGTTGTTTAAGGTTAAAAATATTGATAATTTAGATTATTTTATTAATTTTAATTGTTATAGCCCACCTAATAAGTAAAAGTTCTGAACAATAGGACTAATTTTAGAAAAAGTAAGAGTTAATAAATATTAAATAAATTATTTACTTTAATCAATATCAAAATTTATTATTATTATATTTCAAATCGTACACACACACTGACAGTCATGTCCCATTAAGGCTTTTTATTTGATTAGTTTCTAGGGAGTAGTATAGTGATTAGTTTAGGAGTAGAATAGTCATCTCATCCGGTTTGAAAAAGTAAATTTAATATTTTATTAATTTAGGTTTCCTAGGAGTAGACTAGTTTATTTTTTTATTTCGACTTTTGGGGTACAACACAGTGAGCCTCTTTCACAAGTGAGAAAACTAGTTGATTTTTCTTATCAATAGGTAAGTTTTTAACCACTTTATTCTTATGTCTTGATGATTTTATTTGTTTATTGCTTTAATTTTAAGAGAGAAATAACAAAAGATTGATTCAGAAAAGATTGATGATTTTATTTGTTTATTACTTTATTCTTATATCTTGATGATTTTATTTGTTTATTTGTTTATTCAATGATTGTGTACATTGAAAAAGAGTTTGCCGAAAAGATTGATTCAGAAGAACTAACAAAAGATTTCAATTCCATTAAGGATCGAAGGGCACAACTTGAATAAGTACTTTTTCTTTTATTTGTTAAGTTGTTATGACAAGATTGATGATGTATGTTTCTTTCTACTATAAGTTGGAACTTCAAATGTTTTCTTTGTAAATCTAGTTGAAATTGGCTTTATTCATAGTTAAATTTCTTACTCTAAATTATTGCTTCAGGTTTGTCATTGTGTAACTTTATGTAAGTAACAAAAAAATTTTAACTATTTGATCTCCTAGTAATAATTTTAGTTTACCCCACCCACCAAATAATTTCTAGCTCTGCTATCGGGGCCATCATGGCTAAACAAACAATCTCACATTTAAATGTATTTTTGTAAGAGTGTGATATTCAAATGAAAATTAAAAAATAAACGGTTCTTATTATAAAACATATAAAATAAAAATACATTATTTTAAAGAACGGGAGAGACGTATTTCCCCACGAGAAGATGCAAGTGTTATATTTCTAGTCAGTCATGGGCTTATAGAATTAGGTCCAAAGGACAAAACTTGGTCTGTTTCACTCCCAACCCAAAACCCTCACGAGTCACGTCACGTGATCCCAAAATCCCAATCCACACGCGGCGCCTCCCGCTGCACCTTCAAACACATTCCCTTCCTCATTCAGGACTTTCATCGAGCACCTTCAACTCATTCAATCTTTATATTACAAACAACCGCCTTTTAACTACACGTGGCGCGAACCCAACACACCCACAATCACACGCGTCACCACCAAGCAATCTTCGCTTTGCCACCGCCACCTCCACCTCCACAGCCTCCATAGCTCCCTCCCTCCACGTTCGTCATTACGCCTTCTCCTTACCCAAATTTACAGTAACCAAGAATGCACCGTCTCAAACTCCCCCTGCAGTTCTCCAAATCCATTTCCTGCAGTTACAGAGCCCTCCACGACAAAACCCAATTAGGACAGCGCTGTGTCGCTGGCCTCCGTCCTCAAGTCGAGGGCGGTGGTCCGGTTCCGGGGTCCGGACACGGTCAAATTCCTTCAGGGTCTGCTGACCAACGACGTACGGAAGTTCGGAGAACCCATGGATGAGAAGACCTCCACTTTGGCCCCCCCCAAATTGTCCTGCGTGTCCGAACGGCCCATGTACGCCGCGCTGCTGACGCCCCAAGGGAGGTTCTTGTACGATTTCTTCTTGTACACTCCGCCCAGGCCCGATACCAAGCTCGATAGGACCGGGTCGGCGCCCGGCCCAGACCCAGATGAGGGGGTGGAGGTGTTCGCCGACGTGGATGTTTCGGTCTTGGATGAGCTATTGAGTAGCTTGAAGAAGTGAGTTTTGTATTGGGTTGTGTTTGTTTACAAGTTTTGAGTGGGAAAAATGGATTTTTGTTTATAAAATTCTGTTTTAATTGAAATTTGGTTGCATATGCATATTAAGGCTATAAATTTTAATCCATCTCCATGACTAATCCATGTTCTACCTTCGACTCGGATATATTTGGAAGTTGGCCGCCATTTTTCCTTCAACATACCTTTAATCTAGCGAGTTATCCAATTCAATCCTAGTAAAATGTTTTTCTGACATACGATTCAAGCCGTTTGGAAATGTCGCTTTAGCTTTAGCATCAAATATTTGCATTTCTTTGGACATTGTAGTGCTTCAACTTTGTTATTTCTTTAATGTTTCCTTAATGTTTTTTTTTTTTTTTTGTTTCTTTTCATTTTGCAGATACCGTTTGAGGGCTAAGGTTGATATCGAGAATATGGCACAAGAGTTACAATGCTGGCAGCGTTATGCCGGAAAAGTCTCTGAAAGATCCTCCTCTGTGGAAGAACCAGAGGCTGCTGGTGTTGATCATTCAGGCATGTCATCTGCACGCGGGAATGCTCTTGGATGGCAATGGTTTAAGGATCCCAGATTGGATTGCCTTGGTTTCAGAGGGATCTTCCCGTCAGATACAATACGTGAGTTTTTAACCCTCTGCTGCTTTTGAGCTTTGGATGTGGTTACTGCTTCACAAACCTTGTTGATTAAGCTACTCCTTTTTTTTTTTTTTTTTTTTTTCTCTCTCCTTTCATTGCAGCACCTTTGGTTGAAGCTGGCAAAGAAACAGATGAACAGAATTACCGTCTATGGAGAATAGAAAATGGAGTTGCCGAAGGCTCAGCAGAGATCCCAAAAGGTGCATCTTACTTCCTTCTCGACTCTACACTTGAATTTTTAATAAATCCCCTAATAATTTCTACGTTATAAAACTCAAATGTTCTTTGTTCATGAATTACGTGGTATGATTTGGCCTTCATTCTCAGTGATGGGTTCTATTTTGTCCCGGAATTGCCTAGACCCAAGAATATGTAGTGTTGTGTTGTCCCATGTACGTTGTGTCTTCTGAACGTGTAATTATCATGTCTAGGTGAGGCAATTCCTCTTGAGTATAACCTGGTGGGTCTAAATGCAATTAGCTTCGACAAGGGATGTTATGTGGGCCAAGAGCTTATAGCTCGTACACACCATCGAGGGGTCATTCGCAAACGCTTGCTTCCGTTAAGATTTCTTGAGGAGAGCGGGGAAGGTAATCAGCCTTCCAATTCAACTTTCATGATTTTATTTGTCCAGTATGTCCCCCGAGTCCCAACCCTTAGCTTTCTGTTCTTTCAGAAGCAAAGCAGAACGTTGCTCCTGGCTCCGAAGTGATTGTCAGTGCCACGGGAAAGAAAGTCGGTACTGTCACAACTCAACTCGGGTGTCGTGGGCTGGGTATCTTGCGTTTGGACGAAGCCTTCAAGAGATCAGGTTCATTGACCATACAAGGACAGAAAGATACAAAGGTTGAAGCTATTAAACCAGATTGGTGGCCTGCTGAATGGCTTCAAGAGCATCAACATCAAAGTGCAGTTGCTTAGAATGATGGTGTTGCCCTTTACAGACTTGTCTGATCCTGCATTTGGTCGCCGTGGCGGCAGTAAAGGTACTCGTATACATTTATTTTTTTATTGTTGAAATAAAATAAAAGAATGTGTTTCGTAGAACACGGTGATGTATGTTTTAGTTTACTCATTGAAATGACGAGCCGTTTTGGGGCTGATATGCCAGTACTTCTTTTGATTCCAACTTAGGGTATGTATGAGATTCCAAGAATTGAATACAGCACAAAACTCATACACAATTGCTGCTGCACTTCTTCTTCTGTCTTTTCGGATGCTTTAGTTTAACTTTCTGGATCTTTTAAGTTTGACTTAAAACTAAATGAAATAATAAGTTTGATTGTTTCCTAATCTTAAAACATTTTTTCAAATTCCCAATTGTCGGAATCAGATCACTATAAGGCCAATATCTGATCGTTATGTCATCAATATTTAGTTTTGCTCAGTAATGTCCTATAGATATGTCGTCAACAACAACAATAAAGCCTTATCTTATTAAGTGAGGTTGGCTATATGGATATTAGAATGTCATTGCGCTCGGTTTTGTGCCCTATCTTCCGTTAGATCTCTTAAGAGTCTTTTTCCAAGTCTTCCTCGGTCTTCATACCCCTGTAGTCCTAAGTCTCCGTCTCGTAATCGGTCTTCCTAGGTCTTCATACTCCTTTAGCCCTAAACCTCTGTCTCGTAATTGCTACATATGCCATCAAATGTTTAATTTTGATCAGTAATTGAGTTTTGATTTCTGATCAATTTAGCCAGTTTCTCAAATATATTTGACCTGAAAGAAATTAGCCCCGTGTTTGTTTTTGGTCCTTCTGAAGAGGATATGACATTCCATGACATAGTATTAGCTGAAGCCGATGATTTTATTAGTTATTATCTCACTGAAAAATTATACATTACTAATGATGCAACCAGCACCAGACTTCGAACAGTTACCAGAATACATCCCTAAAATGTATGAGAAACCATCGGATAGATATTTCACAGATGGAACAAATGAATCTCAACTCTCCTTTTAATTTCCTCGGACTTTCACCTCGACGCCGGGCTTTCCACGTAGCTAACGATAGATTACAAGTAATCACCGGGATGTCATTTAGCTGTTTCGCCGCTAAGAGTGCAACTCCATTGAGGCCTCACTTTCCGGGGTTAACATCTGCAGCAGTTATTCCACATAGGGAAAATGGCAGTGGTATCAGGAACTGGCTCCGAGGTTATTGAGCTCCTGAATGACTTGCTCCATTGTCGGCCTGTTGTCAGGAAGCTCGTGGGTGCACACCAGTGCGATTTTTGCTAGTGCAGCTGCTTCAGGTTCTGAGAAGTTTCCCTTCAGGTTGGCATCGACAAATTCTTCGTATCTGCATGATTCTGCAGCTGATCGCATTGAACTACTAAGTTGCAGTCTCCCAGATATAACCTGGAGGATGATGACTCCGAATGCGTATATATCACTCTTCTCAGTGAAACGACCAGTGGTGATGTATTCAGGAGCTAGGTATCCCATGGCGGCACTTGTTTTAAGAGTGGAGAAGACAACATCATCAGCGAGCAACTTAGGAAGGCCAGAGTCCAAAATCAATGGGTTAGACTGCTGATCAAGGAGAACCTTCTCAACCGATATGTTTTGGTGGATTATGCCGGGTTTAGTTGCTTCACTGCTGTGCAAATATCCGATACCTGGTCAGAAAAGAATAAACAACATCACAATCAACATACTGGAATATGTACACACACATGGACGGGTCATTCTGGTGAGATAACTTACCTTTTGCTATGCCGTTGATGATAGCGACTCTGTTGGACCACTCGAGGACTTTGTTCGTTCCATCTCCTACATCAAGATATTGAGAGAGGTTTCCCTTGGGAATGAAATCATAGATAAGGAAGCATTCACCGCGGCCCCTAGAGCAGCAGAAACCTTTCAGCTTGACAATGTTTTCATGTCTCAGTGAAAATAATAGTTCTAGTCCTTTCAAAAATTCAGATTCTTCAGACTTGCAGCTGGTCACATTAATGCTCCTTACAGCCACAAGAGAACCATCTCTTAGAACTCCTTTGTAGACGGAAGAGAACTTGCTTCTCCCCAATAAATTCACCTCGGAGAAGTATTGGGTTGCAGACTCTACATCTTCCATGTTGAACCAGTATTTATTCAAATACTCCTGGGAGAGACCAATTCCGTTTCGACCATCAGCCAATGGATCCCATCCGTTGGCGTACTCAAGACTCACAAGTGGCGAGGGACTTCGCCTGTAGAAATCCCTGGCCTGATCAGTGCTAAGACGACCATCAGAAGGATCGGATGTATTCCCAATCTTTTGTTTTCGTTGCCTGTACCGGATAAGGGCTAGAAATACTGCCCCAGCCAAAGTGACAGAGAGGGCAATAACGCCTGCAACAACTGCAGCTTTCGGAAACTTGGTCGATTTTCTGCAATGGGTTTGGTTGCAAGACGCTTGGAAATCTACAGATTCAGGGTTAGCTTTTGGAGTGGAATCAGTTATGTTTGGTCCAAGTGGTAGTCCATGAACATTCACGTTGTCCATGTCAAAAGGTGTGCAAGCTCGCAATTTAGAAAATCCAACTCCACATAAGCTTGGGTTGTTCTCACACTGGAATCCTTCTTTTAATCGTTTCAAAGCTTTCATTACAAATTATGGAAATAATCACAACGGTGAAAATACACAGAAAATGCCAAGCGAAGAAAATAGAAACATCAAATGATTTACGAAAATACGTGAGGATCGACTGAATAGACATACCAAGAGGGGCAACTCCAGAAAGAGAATTGCTTCGGATATCAAGGGCTTCCAAGGATGGGATATCAGCTAGTTTTGCAGGAATTGTACCGAAGAACTTATTGAAGCTCACATCAAGCCTTTTAAGCACTCCCAAGTTCCCCAAGCTTGCAGGAATTTGACCGGTTAGTTTGTTATGCTGCAAAGCAATAACACTTAGCCTCTTTAAGGATCCCATCTGTGTTGGTATATTTCCTGTCAGCTGGTTACAACATAGCTGTAGAACTGTGAAGGACCAAGAAGAAAACAAGAAAAATTATTATATATGAAATGGGATTAAGCCAAGAACAACTAAATGTAAATGAGCAATTGAAGGTGAAACATCGATAGACATAAATCGAAGAATATACACTTGACTTGCAACCAAATCATAACCAGGAAAAACAAACCATCTTTACAATATAAGATGGAAAAGAAATCAAATAAGACGAGTGAGCTTCATTTCCTGGAGACCAAACACCAATTTCTCCTCGGGAAATGATTTCAGCACACCCCTTTTCTCTTTCTGCATTCTCTGTTTATTTTTCTCCCTTGATCTCAAAGGCCAGACAAAAATCTAAAGGAGTGTGCGGAGATCACTTCCCTCTCTTCTTTCGTCGTCTTCTTTTCTTGCTCGTCTAAGGGAGAAAACAAGACTATAAAATTCACCCAATTATACTAATTCAAATAGCAGAATTGAACTGATTTTTGACGAAAAATCAAAGCTTTTCACCACTACATTAAGCTATTTCACCCAGTAATTATCCATTCTTACCTACAAAAAGAAGGAAATTCCTTTCTCTCAGAAACTGAAACATTTCAGACCAAAAAAATTACCAACCTTGCAGACTAGTCATGTTCCCAATCTCAGAAGGAATACCCCCAGTTAGATTATTGACGTTGAGATACAGATCAGTGAGCTCAGTGAGATACGATATCTCTTTAGGAATCTCTCCTGACAAGCTGTTGTAGTGCAGGTACAGACCCGACAAGCACTTCAGCTCCGCCACTGCCGGTGAGACCCGACCCGACAGACCCTTCCCCACCAAAGAAACATTGGCCACTTTGCGGTGCTCGTTGCAGGCCACGCCTTCGAATGAACCACTACACGGGTCACCCTCTTTGGTCCACGACTTCAAAACCCTGCCTTCCGGGTCCAGAGAGGCCTTCAACTCCATCAGAGCTCCCAGCTCGGCATTCCCACAAACAGGTGGTGGCGTAGAACATGCGAGCAGAATAAACAGAGAAACCAGAAAATGGATCAAACCCATGCGTGATTTCGGGTCAAAAACTCGAACTTTGTCCGAAATTCTTGATCTTCAGTGCTCACAGTAGAAACCCATGTTGCTTTTGCTACTAAGTAGGTGAGGTTTTAAGTATTTTTTGTCAGGTAATGCAGATGTGAGAGAGAGAGAGAGAGAGAGAGAGAGAGGCACAGAGGGATGGTGCAGTATATTCAAAACGGAGAGCAATAACTTCCAACTTTTTAGAGTTGCAGAGACAGGTTCACATTTGGATTGGGGTTTAGATTTGGGGTTGACAGTTGTCTTTGATGGCTTTGACGATTGGCGCATTTTTGCATCGTGGATTGGAATTTTGGTAGAAAAGGTTGATGTCATTTGGTCGTCAGACCTCGAGTGCTGTAAAAAGGAATAACACAATGGAGTAGTTTTCATTCTTCTTTTGCATGCGCTTTAGTTTTAGAGAAAAGCAAAGGGTACTTTCGAGATTTTATTGCGCATATACAGGATTTTTTTTTTTTTTAGAAAAATTAATGAAAATGATTTGAAAACTCCGACTTTTAACGATAAGGACAAAATAAAAGATAAAGTGAATAGTATCATGATTGATTTTTTAGTATAAAAATATGATTTTTCGTTAAAGTGAACTGGTCCGAAAGCTTTTTGTTAAAGTTTTTTTTTTTTTTTTTTTTTAAGTGTCCTTCTAGTTGTATAAGAGCAACTATATCGTTGCTTATCGCTTTGGAGATAAGCAACTCAATTCACTCCCCCTCTTCAAAACATTCCAGCCCAATTGGACAATTGAACTCAAGGCGAGTTCGATGGAGAAATCAAACAATAATCGCCTGACTCAGCATCCAGCCCATGCGACGCAAGGTTGACGTCAACCACAATTAAAATATTTAAAAAATTTGAAACACTAATTAAAAATTATATATATATTTTTATAAATACATAACCACGTTCTTTTACTTTACACTACATTTCAATATTTTCAACCAATTTTTTATTATAATTTGAAATTCGAAATAAAAATATTTTATTATTTTGCAAAATAAAAAATACTAATTGCCTGAGCTATTCAATTTAGGTGTAGAGATGTATTTGGACAGTTATTGTTTACTACAATAAGTTATTGTTCATTTAAAGGGATTGACAAATCTCTACTCAAATTGAGACTTTTCACGATGCTAAGTAGACCAATTTTGTAAACTAAATTGCAAACTAAATGA